TTTGTAACCTAAGAAATTCTTTTTTCTCTTGTAAATTTACATATATTTTTGTTGTCAAAACTATGTATTTGTCCATATTTTTAAAAGATCTTAAAAAATACCTTAATTTCAAGACGAAACTTTTGTATATGTTGGGAAAAAAAATTATTAAAGCATGAAAATATTGATTTAACCTAATAATACATTTAATATTTTATTAAATTACTTAATTTAGTTGCTTTGTTATATAAAGAAACAAGTGAACTAACTTAAAATGAAGTAGTGCAATATGGGTACACAAATATCAATTTAATATGAAAATGATTTTTATCCATAATACGTTATGATTGATATATAAGAATATCGTAGTTACATCAGATTTATTATGAACTCAAACACTTCAAAACTTTTGAATGGCATTATATAGGTTTTTTTAATGAGATATTTAGAAAATTCTTTAATAATTAAGTTATATTATTACCTAAAACCTAAATGATCATAAGTGGTATAATGTTTAATCTTATTCAAAATTGTTTTAGAAAGATGTGAATTTTTAGGAGCTAAATCTATAGTCACCATTACATTGATGATTGTAGTTATTATTGAATTTGGTAAAACATATGATATTAGTATTTTTACCAAAATAAAAGCCCACTTGCTATAGACAGTTGATTTTAGTTGAAACATTATCACAATGTAAGTTAATATTCTCTACTTTTCTTGGATTATTAGTTCTAGCTTTTCAATAGCTATATATATGATGGTTAATTATTTTATCAATGGCATCAAGATCCTTATGATATTTTATGATAATAAATCCTTTTTGCTTTATGTATATATTAATAGCAATATCAACTGTGTTCTAATTTTCATAAGTATCATTAACATTGTCACTGAAAATATATTCTCTTTGTATTACACATGTTTTACTAAGTTACTTTACTGTGATAAGTAAATTTTTTATTATCAGACTTTATAACCTTAAGGAATCTCATATCTTACAGATATTCAGAATGCCTTGGAATTACTTCACTTGACTTTTATGAACTTAAAGGTTTAGGGACTTAGGGAAAAATATAGAGAATTTGTTTATTCTAAGTGACGAACTCAAAAGTAAGTTAATGTAGTGATTCATGATCAAATCCTAGATGATGAACACATAGAAAGGAAAAGTAATTGTTTTTCAAAGTTAATTCCTTTATTTATTATTTAAAATTCACAAGTATTTTAGAACTTACAAGAAAGTTTAAAATTTGCAAATGAGTTATAAAAACTTGCAAGAGAGTTTAAAACTCACAAATAAGTTTTTTTATAACTTGAGCAAAAAGCTATTCTATTTATACAAAAGTAATTTGCTATGATTAACTAATTACTACGCTATAAACTAATTAAATTTTTAATTACAAGTGCTAATATAATGATAATAATAATAATAACAGATATAATAAATATAATAATAATAATAATAAAAATAATTAAAATAATAGAAATAAACGTTATAATAATTCTCCAGTTTATAAGTCTTATCGATAAATCTTATGAATCCTAAGAATCCTATGGATTCAGAATTATGCAGATCTTCTAATTTGTAATTGACATAAAATTAATTCCAGTAACTTCTATAGATCATTTAATAATTCTTTGTAAATTAATTTTTCTATAGTAAATATTTAGCCAGTAACAACATTTAGAGTCATTTATTCATACTATCAATCTCATTTGTGTTATTTTTTTCATTATTAGATAACCTACTTGTTATATCTAAAAGTACTTTAAGTAAATTTAAAACTTTCTCCTCTATTTTCCCAAACCAAAATTTTCATACGAAAAATAAAAAATTTAAAAGTTTGTTTTTAACAAAAAATTAATTAATAAACCCAGTATAAAGAAAGTTTCTTTAGTTTTACCCACCTTTTTCACTACGCGAGAAAATTATGGCGTAAAAGTGCTATAAAACAAAAAAATAGTGACCCAAAGTTCATTCCATATGTCATTCTAAAAGCTTCAAAAGAAGCTATTATTTCTACACCAGCTCCCTCATTTTCTTCAACCTCAACTTTTGTCCCCACTAACTTAGATTTAGAAATTGTCCAAAAAGTTTTTAGTTCGCTACCAGAAAAACAATGGAGTTTGAATTTTTTGACGTATCTAAAATTGTTACCCCTAACAAAATTTCACCAGTTATTTCACCTTCGAATAACAACAATAATAATAACAACTAAGTTAATAATATTCCTGAAAACTCTTCTTCTGCTAAAGATAGATCATAACTTTAGGACTCTGATGAATATCTCGAAGACGATAATATGGGAGAAGACTTAAAAGATTTTACTGTTGTTACAAAAGCTACTCCCTTTGCAGTTACTAGTAATATCAAGTTTACACCCAAAGAAAAGAACAACAGCAAAATTGTTCTTGCTATCAACAATGTTTTTGCTTAAAATGACGATTTTAGAGGTATTTTAGTTTATCGCGTCAATTTGACACATTCTGTAATTGTCTATTTTATGATGTCAGACGCGCTGCCGCAGCTTTACACATAACTATTCCTAATCTTAAGATCGACACTTTCTGTGATTTCTCTTAATACAAAGCTTATATGCAATTTAACGAAAGGATTATTCATATTACCGATATTCCTTTACAAATGAAGCCTGCTAATATCAAACAAGTTTTTGCCAAATATGGAACTGTTACCAATTTTAAAATGTCAGTAAGAGGTATGTGGCAACATGCCTATATCATCTATGAAAACTCTAAATGTATTGAACTATTTTATCAAGTGTGGAGTCGGTTTGTCCAGAATGATTCTGTTCATGTCAATCCTTACACTTTGTCTCTAGAAGAAATTAAATATAGGAATACTCATTGTATCAAACTAACAAATCTTCCTTTTGGTACCTCTGCAAGAGATCTTCATGATATAATTCTTGCTACTAAAGCTAGAGCTAGTTATATTCCTAGATCCAACAACTATAAGCCTTGTTCCTTTGTTATTTTGCACTTCGAAAATGAGAAAGCTCTCAATCATGCAACTTAACAAAACTTTGCTTTTGGTAATAATCAACTGATGTGGTGTTCTCCTAATGCTAGAAGCTGTCACAAATGTGGCGATCCAGCTCATCTTATTATGAAATGTCCCTTTTTACAAAAATCAATTATACCAAATGATAATGAAGAACCTATTAAACCGAAGATATCATCTTAAAACAATTCAATGCAAAGACTCTACAACAAATATAAACCTGCTGGCTTTAGAAAATTTGTGGATTCTAATTGATTCAACCGTTCTTCTAAATCTTATTCTGAGACTATCAAAAATAAGAATACCCCTTCACCTTCATCACCAAAAGATGTTATCAAACCAACTGTGAAGGATTCTGTTCACAATCCGAATAATGAAATCAATAATAAATTGGATCAGATTCTCTCAATTCTCTTTAATATGAAAAAGGACATGAATGAACTAGATGCTAGAATCGCCAAACTGAAATCTTTTCAGGCTTCCTCTACAATTACGCATACAGTAATTCCTTCGACTATTGTTAGTAATGGAAAAGATCCATTAATATTTTCACACGTTTCTCAATCTTCATCCAAATTGCCAGATACATCTAATAAAAGATCTCACATTGCTGGATCTTTAAGTGATGACTCTTTGCCCTCACCAATTTTGACCCTAACACCTGATCTTACTAATATGGTGAATGAACAAGCTGCTATTATTGCTGAACAAAAAAGACAGATGGACAGAATATTTAAACAAATTGAACAATTCACAATGAATGCTAACCAGTCTCAAAATTAGATACACCCATTTTTCACATTCCTTAAATGATTAATACAACGAATAATATTCTGTTACCTAATATTTCCTCCACAAATTTAATTAACAATAATAATGTTCCCCTTCCTCATAATTTATTTTTATCACATGACCAACTCACTCTTATTATAGATAATGACTTAGAAAATTCACATAGTGATGATAGAGAATTAATTTTAAATAGAAACACCCTCACCTTTGCTACTCATAATGTACATTCTCTTCGTGATGATGTCAAAAACAGTAAGATACTAGATACTTTTCACCAAAAGAACGTTAACTTTATTGCTTTATTGGAAACTTGGCATTAATCTTCACAATCTTTTAGATGTTCTTCTAATCCTTTTTTGATACTTGTGGAGTTCTGTCTCTAATAAATACTCAGGTGTTGGTTTACTTATTAGCAAATTTTGGTCTAAACATATTGCTAAAAAATTCTTGGATTATGATCGTTATATTTATGTTGATCTCTACTTAAAAGGAAATATAAAACTAAGAGTTTTCTCAGTTTATATTTACGCAACTGAATCTAAAGAAAGGAAAGTCCTTCAAATAACATTACTATAACTTATAGCCAGTCTGGTTTTCACATTATCATCATGGGTGATTTTAATGCAGATCTAATCAAATTATAACGCCTCATTAATTCTGGTAAAACCATTCCTTAGAAGTATGATCTTATACATAGTCTCATTCTTAGAAACTTCTTGGACTTATATGACATTTGTCATGATACACCCTTATCTATATTCAAAAGATCGAATACTTCCAGTCATATTGATGCAATTTTTGCTTCTCAAAATCTTGTTTCTGATTTTCTCTATTGCAACATAATTCATTCTTACTTATACAAAGCAGATCATAAGATTGTCATTGCTTATTTTTCTAATATTCAACATGAATCTCAATTTCGTTCAAGAATTAATGATACTAAAAGAAAGGTTTTTCTTCTCAAATCTATGGATTCTTCAAAATGGACCAGTTTTGCTGATTATTCCAATACTTATTACAACAACCACAATTTTGATTGCCTAAAAGATTTTCTATCCAATCATGCAAATATGAATAATCTCTGGATGGAATTGAAAAAAGCTATTTTGAACATTAGTAAGTCTCTACTCAAGACCATATACCAAAACCCAAAGATCTTTCTCAGTACTACTCATCACTCACTAAGATCGAAAAGATTCTTTTAAAATTTTGATCTAAAAGGCTAAAAGAAAGGCGTTGACTCATTGGTGAAGAATGGAAACATGATCTATATATTGTTGCAAATATTGTTAAAAATATTTCATATCCTTTAGATCCTCTGCCTCAATTTTTAAATTTATCAAATGTTAAAGATGTTAAAAAATCTCTTAACTGCATCTATAAAGTCTTGTATAAGCTCACTAAATTAGATGCTAAGATAAACACTGATGCATAAATAAAATCACTTATTGGAAAAAGATGCAATCAGCTCAAATCTCAGTCTAGCAAGATGATAGATTCTATTCTACAAAGGAAAAAGAGAAAAATTACTTTGGATTGAGTCTTTATTAATCACAATGATAGTTCTAAACACTTTACTCTAGATCCTGATAAAATCAGAAAAGTTGCAATCAACCACTTCCAAAATAATGCATTACTATTTACACCTCCAAGATCTCTGGAAGGAAGATGGATCTCACAATATTAACCAAAGAATTATGTTTCTGAGAATATATATGACAATCTTATGCAACCTCCAACATATAATGAATGGAGTTCAGTTCTTTTACACTTAGCTAAGATAAAGCTGCTGGACCTTCGGGTATCCATAATGAAATGTTTTAACATCTAGGTGATAAGTTCAAACATCTAGTATAGCAATTAATTTGCATGTGCTTCGATATCGGTGACACTCCTAGTGAATGGAAAATTGCACATGTATATCCTATTCCCAAACCTATGGAATGGGAATGTGACATTACCAAAACCCATCCAATCACTCTATTAGAAACATTAAGAAAAGTATTTGTCAAAATTGTTACCAATCGACTCTCAAAGATTCTCACTAAACATCATGTCCTAAAAGGTAACAACTTAGCTGGCTTACCTGAAGGTTCTACAGAAAAACTGATCAAAATTCTAAACATGTTGTTAGAAGATGCTAATGAAAACAAAAAAGAACTTTGGATTTTATTGCAAGACCTTTCCAAGGCATATGACCGTGTTGATCTAAAATTTCTTTGTTTCGTCTTACAACGTATCAAAATTCCTGCTAAATGTGTAGATCTGATCATCAACCTTTTCACTAATAGAAAAAATGCAATTTTTACAGCTGATAGTCTTACTGATTATTATGATATCAAAATTGGTATTGACCAAGAAGAGATTATCTCTCCTCTACTATGGTGCATTTATCTAGATCCTCTTTTATGTGAAGTAGATGCTTCAAACAAAGGATATGAAATCTCCCATATATGGACCAATAACATTATCAGCAACTCCACGACAACTCTTTCAGAATCTGTATTATCCTTAGCCTTTATGGATGATACTAACTGAATTGCTAACTCTTAACAAAATCTTGAAGATATCTTCATAATAGCTGACGATTTTTATGATTTAACTAGGGCTGCTTTGAACAAATCCAAATCAAAGCTTATCATAACAAAGTCTTTTACATCCCTAACCATCAACATCAACTTTGGTTCCTCCACAGTCAATATTACTCCTGAGTTAAATTCAGTGAGATTTCTAGGAATTTGGATCAATCGTTTGAATTCTCAAACTTTTGTTAAAATTCAAACCCTAAAAGACATCAATAATTTTGCTGCTGTCATGAAGCCCAAACCTCTCACCGATAAATAAATTGCATATATTGTTAATGCAGTCTTCTGTCCACTTTTAGAATATAAATTGCAATATACACCTCTTTTTGAAAATGAATGTAATGTTTATTTTGGCTCTATTAGAACTCTTTTTAAAAGAAAGTCTGATTTTACTGTTACAATTCTTACTGCTGTTTTAAATAGCAACAAATATTACAACCTTCACAATCTTTAGTCTCTTCAAATCAAATTCTTCACAACTGCTCTCCTCAATCAATTCAATTCGACAGATCTTTATTTTAATGTATCTTCAATTTGTCTCTTCCAACTTCAATCACTTAATCTCCTTCCGTCATCTCCGCTTCACCTTTGGAAATATCCTTATAACTGTTCCTCTCATAAAAATCTAATTGGTGCTCAACTTAGCATCACTAACACAGTTGCCTCTGGTTTTAAACCTAGGGTCAAAGAGTTTTTGCGTAATCACATTATAGGAGGCTCACATTCATTTTACCAATTATTTTCTTATACTATCTACAAACAAAATTTTAATATTATTAAAATCTTATAATTATATTATTTTGATCAACTTATTTCACTAGATGGTTACCATCTTCTTAACTGGAAAGATATTAGATTTCGCCTTCCTGTATCATTAACAAAATCTGCTAAAGTAGATTCTTCTTTTTTCAATAGATTCATTTTTAATCTAGTTGTTCTTAATCCGTTAGATAGATCTCTTAAACTAGAATATAGACTAGATGATAACTCTTTCTTTATGTCTCTTTATGATTTAGATATCAATCCCTCTGACACCAAA